GGTCCCTCTCTCCCTGTGGCTGCTCTCTGGAGAAAGGCCAGATTAAAGGGATTAGTGTGTATCCTCCTGAGTTGTCAAACTAGGATGTAAGGAACCATTGACTTGCCTGGGCACCCTGAATGAGCAGAGGCAGAGAGGTGCCTAAAGAAGAAGTCATGAAAGGCAGCGAACAAGCCAAAAATTCCCAAAAGGACAATGTGATTTGTTTGCTTTTGTTCCCTTGAACTGGGATGAAAAGTTCAAAGGGCCAGCCCTGAGGAGCCCGGAGAAAAGGAAGGAAACAGGCAGAGAGTGGAGGAAACCTAACTTCACCAATTTCAAATCACTACGAAGAAAGTCATGACAGTAAACTGCTGCAGCCGGGATTAATGGCACAATAAACTGCTTAAACTGTCAAGGGGTCAAAGTTCGGTGTTCATATTCTTTCAGGTCATAACAACATGGTGCATTTACCTTAAATGTGGCTGTGACGGAGTGCAGTCGTCCTTCAACCGTCGTCCTTGTGGGTTGGATCCCAGCCGTGAAGTCAACATGTGGATGTGTCCTTGGGCAGATACTGGACCCTCAGTGGCCCCCGATGGCCAACGGTGTGTGCGCTTTGAGGGTGAGACCTGATAAAGCACTAAATAAGTACAGTCCATTAATAATGTCATAACAAAGATTAAAGTTAGGGTTGTAAAACAAACACCCTGAGGGCAAAAAACACTGGATGACTTTGGTTGGAAATTGCAGTGAAGTGATTACTTTAAATGTCTCAGTGAAATGAACTGCTTGTTCTATTTGTCCATAGTGGGTGGCTGTACTAATAAGAGTCGCCTTGCAGGACACACTATTATAGATCCCACATGCTTATGGACTGGCTACAAGACACGACACACACAAGCAGAGCCACTATAAAATATCTCTGTCAAAAAAGGTGTTGGGTTCTCCAAGACAAATTAAATAAATGTTTTATTCAGCACAACGACTACAAATGACAAGAACATGCAAGGACCACTGAGAATAGGAAAGAAGAAAAAGGGTGGCAGATTTGACTACAGCAGTCTGTTTGTGCTCATTTTAAGGACCTTCTGAACAATGAGCAGATTAACACAAATGTAATTTGAAGATTCTCTATACTCTCCTGTAGAGATATCTACCTGCACAGATTGTATTTTCCTAGTGACAGATAAAGCGTTACAACATTGCTAGATTCTAATGAAGAAATCCTCTAAAGTCCACACTCGTCTTCTGGAAAGAGGCATTACTACATTTTTTGCAAGTGCTTACATTGTATTACTTTGTTTACCTCCACTCTCTGTTTTGGGGTTTGAGCAAAGAAATGAAAGACAACATCTGTCTCAACATCTGGGCAAAACCTCCAGTAGATTAAATGTTTAAAGCAATCAACATCTGTTTAAACCTATAGCTTAAGTTGAACACTAACAATAAGACAGGCCAAAGCAAACTTCTTCATCAACATAATTGAAGGTGCAAAAGGTAAAGGTCAAACAGTTTGGCAAATCTTAAATAAACTATTAGGTAAACATACCAAACAGGAAAAGAATGCTCTAGAATAAAAAATCAATGATGCCCTGATAAAAGACCATGCAGTGTTGGCCAGCTCTCTCAATGAGTATTTCATCAATAGTGCTCTGGACATCACAAAGCTCTTCCCGCCATCTGAGGTCTCACCTAGCCCGACTGTGGATACACACCCCGTTTTTGACCTGGAGGAAATCACAGAGGTTGAGGTAAAACATATAATCTCAGGGTTAAGAGGTTCTAAGGCTAGCAATGCAGATGATTTCAACACCAACTTTATAAAAACACATATCGATCGTCTAATACAACCAATTACTATGTTAGTAAATCAATCTATCAGCACGAGGGAAGTTCCATCATCCTGGAAGGTGGCCACGGTGACACCGATATTTAAATCTGGGGATAAGGCAATGATGTCCAATTACAGACCAATCAGCATCCTCCCCTGTGTCTCTAAGGTAGCTGAGAAATGGGTGTCAAAACTAATCACCAAACACTTAGATAAAGGTTTCGCTCCACTCCACCCAATGCAGTTTGCTTTTCGTGCTCACCACTCCACTGAGACAGCTAACTGTGTCTTTGTGGAAAAGGTTAAATGTATGTTGGACATGAGCCCATCAGGGTTTCCGCTAGGATTTTTTCTCGCCGGTCAAATGTCCGAACAGAATTTATTTTACCGGACAAATTTGAAACTTACCGGTCATGTTTCAATAAGAATAATAAGAGTTGTGTAGCAGAATTTCCGTTAGCAGGTAATTACCGGACTATGACCGGATATGCTGAGGTTTAAAACTCAGATAATGGGAGTAATTTTTATATCACTTCAGTTTATAATCGTAACAGATCGAAAAATTCAGATTCATTTTTCAATAAATGATTCCACAAACAACATAATTATTACATTCAAAGAAACTACTTGTAGTAGATGAAGTACATTATTCAAAAGTTTACATTAATTTAAGAAGAATAACACGGGAGAAACGGATCCTCTCTTTTCCCTTCTCTCCTGACAGCCCGTCAGTTTCTCATGCAGCGCACTAAACAGTGGGCGGGGCTTCAGGTGATTATGCAGCAGCTGATCTGATCTCTCTCTCACGTCCGGTTATACCTCACTCGCGTTTATGTCCATATCGATCAGATCCAGCTCTCCTGATCGGCCTTTATAGAGAGCACCGATCAAACTATTAAGAGTGAATATTGGCCGATAATGACCGGCGGGCAATCGATAGGAGCATCGGACATTTTGACCGGCAAGTTTTGAATTTACCGGTTTTTATTACATTTTACCAGCTAAAAACCGGTAATTACCGGCTAACGGAAACCCTGGAGCCCATATGTAGGTGCTGTCTTCCTTGATCTCAGGAAGGCTTTTGACTGTTAACCACCAAGTGCTCCTTACAAAGCTGATGTATTTCAATTTTTCGGCAGATTCAATAAAGTGGGTTAAGTCTTACTTATCGAACAGAAAACAGTGTGTTTTGGTCAACGGAGCCAAATCCCCCTACCTTGTGAACCCTGTTGGGGTTCCACAAGGTTCCATTCTTGGACCATTACTGTTTTCACTGTACATTAATGACTTGCCTAATGTATGTCCTGAGTTGAATGTGCAAATGTATGCTGATGACGCGGTCATCTTTGTACACGGGAAGAACACTGAAATGATCTCATGTTGTCTCTCAAAAGCTTTGGACAAGGTTCAACACTGGCTGAACAACATTTGCTTACAGTTAAATGCAAAAAAAACAGTATGCATGATGTTCAGTAAACGACCAGTCAAAATCGAAGGATCCAATGTGTTTTTAAACGGAGCAGAAATATAACTAGTCTCCCACTTCAAGTATCTTGGATTCGAACTTGACTTTTAAGAAACATATTAAGAAAGTATCTGTTATGACCTGGCTCAAAAGGCCACAACAAAGAGACACCATATCAACGGTTTAACAAAAGATGTTTATTAAAGCAAGTAGTCCAAATTAGCCAAATTAATTAAGTGCAAAACCAAATGAAGCATGAGGTGTGGATGTCAGTGGTATCAGTAGTGTAAGTGCAGGGTAGTAGTAGTAGAACCTTTATTTATCCAGGAAAATCAATTAAGAACAAATTCTTATTTACAATGATGACCTGAAGGGTGAGCGTGAGGAAGGTAACTTCATCACTGTGAACTGACGGCTTCGGGCCTGGTAACTCAGCACTTTAGTGAACAGTTTTGCACTTTATTAGCGTGATTGCACAGTACCGTTTGGTATGGCATATTTGCACATTTTAAATACTAATTATTGAGATAGTATTTATTAAAGGATTGTGTGCACCTGGTGCCCTGTGTTGTCTCCTCCCCCCTCACCTGTGTCTAGTTGCTGATTAGTGTGTGTGGGTATTTAGGCTCTGTTTCCCTGTCTGTTAGGAAAGGGTGTGTGTGTGTGAGATCCTGGTGGCTGCAGGCTGGGCTCACGTGAACAGCAGCAGCAGGATTGAGGCTGGATGTGTAATGTGTTCATATTTTAATAAATGCCCACGTCGGGTTATATTTGTGGACGTTCTGCCTCTGCCTCCTTGCTTGGTCTGGGCCGCTCAACGGTCTGCTTCACAGTGAGGATTGCATGGACATGTATGAGTGTGAGAGTGTTGAAGTGCACAAAGTGAAGCAACTGAACATACTCAACCAAAACCGGGTGCCTGTAGGAGAAAGCAGAGAGGCTTTACCTGCAGGGCACCAGACCCAGGTGCCCTGAGTTACTGCAATCAATGCGGCAGGATGCAGCACAGCCACACCCTGTCCAGATGAACCCACAGGGGCATCACAGTATCCAATACCATTACATTCAACTTGCAAAATGTTAAACAAAATAGACCTTTCTTAACTGTCGATGCTGCAAAGTCACACCTCCCCTGTATGATTCTATCCCACATTGAATACTGTTTTACAAACTGGTCGTTTGCTTGTGCCACAAACCTGAAACCCATAGAACAGCTGTACAAGAGAGCTATCAAGGTGTTTGACAGAAAGCCTTATTCATATCACCACTGTACCATCCTTGAGAAACACCATTTCTTAAGTTTTGACAATTTCAAGTCTTTTAAAAGCATGTGTTTTTTATATAAATGTTTACATGGACTGTCGTTGCTACTATAGTGTACTGCCAGGTGGTAAATACTTGTGTGTGCTGCTCTTGCTCTTTTGCATATCATGTATTTATTTGTGGTCCCATGTTATTATATATTGTATGGCAGGGACTACGGATGGAAATTAGCTCAAAGCTAAAATCCGGCATATTTACACCTGAAGCATTATTTGTCTAAAGTGTTCATTAATGTGCATTGTTCCTATTGCAATAAACGATTAAATGAGAAATGAGAACTATAAAGCTTTCCGCTCGCCTATTGACAGGTGATGCAAACGTCAATGAGAGCGCCTTTCAGAGTGACATCAGGAAGAGCCAATCGCTGTCCAAGGAGAAACGTCATTCAGAAGTGGACCAATGGCGTGAGTGAGAGCGAGCTGAGGGAACAGTTGTTGAAGTTGTACTGGTTTTGCTTTAGTTAGCCACCGATTGTTTTGTTACAATGCAACTGTTAATGAACAAAACTTCAGTGTTTTGGATATTTTAGAATCCGATGCTTTTGGCGATGGGGTCACTGAAGCTCAACGTTGGACAAGAGAATTCAGCGACAGCGGCCACAGTGGAAGAGGTAATAGCCTACTGAGTTTATTTCAAACTTAGTGAGCTACATTAGCTTTACCTAGCTAGCCTGTTAGCTTTAACCTGTTGGCCTATTTTGACTGACCAAGTACGTTTTTATTCTTTGCTCTCTGGTTTATTGCGCGTCCGATGTTTTTTCGTAATATGACGTGACTTTAGTTTTGTGTTAGTTTAGGTGTTCGCCCCAATGGTAGCAACAAGGGGACGTGCTAAAGTTAGCAGTCCTGTTAAACTAGCACGTTAGACCACTAGCTAACTCAGCAGGCGTTAGCAGGGATGGGCACTGGAAGATACATACAGATAAGATGTACTTCTATTGATCCCAGTTTAGGAATATATGTTAGCACAGCAGCTGTAGATAAGCTTTGCTAATTAACAAAAAATGAAATAAAAATACAAACAAACAGGAAATATGTATGTACAAACAGTATTAAAACAAATAACCAAAACAGAACAGTACATATTGTTATGTACTATCAACAGTGAAATATGTACCTAGAGTATCTCTATTGAATACACAATATACACATTAACATATAGAATTCAAGTCAGTGTGAATTGATAGGCCAGCCCATAACTCTCAACATGTAAACTAATTACATTATAAGTTAACAAGTAATTACAGTTTAGAATAGATTTAGATGCACAAGGTACAATATATACAAATAGGTGAAGGGTTATTGAAGAGGAGATGTCGTTAAGAAGGAGCAGCTGTTGTTAGGGTGATGCAGTTGGCAGGAATGACTTCCTGTATCTGTAGACAACAGTAAATGTGATTGAAAAATGTGTGCTGACATATAATGTTGTATATTAAAAGTAGCTAGTGACATATTACACACAGGGTAGATAGAATCGAGGGATGAAACCCTCTTTAATGGTCCCACATGCAGAGCACACAGCACACACAGTGCAATTTGGCCTCTGCATTTAACCCATCCTAGTACCAGGAGTCTAATACTAGGAGCAGCGGGCAGCTATTGTACAGCGCCCGGGGAGCAATGGGAGTGGGGGGGTGTCTGGTGCCTTGCTCAAGGGCACCACGGCAGGGCAGGAGGTGAACTGGGACCTCTCCAAGTAGAAGTCCACACTCCATATTTAGGTCTGGTCGGGGACTTGAACCGGCGACCCTACGGCTCACAGTCCAATCCCCTACTGACTGAGCCACTGCCGGGTATAAGTATAACTTACAAACTAATTAGTTACATAATTGTAACTGATTAAATGAGTCATATGTTGTACTGTAGTGATGGCAACTGGTGGGTTTGTTATAGGCTTCAAATCTGTCCAGGGGTTGTGTCAGAGATGTTCACAAGTCTTTTTTTGCAAGTCCAAGTCAAGTCTCAAGTCTTTGGTCACGAGTCCAAGTCAAGTCTCAAGTCTTTGTGGGGTGAGACTTGATCAAGTCTCAAGTCTTTGGTCACGAGTCCAAGTCAAGTCTCAAGTCTCTAAAAAATAAAAGTCTCATGTCTCTTCTGGTTGTAATAAGCCTTCTATTGTCTGCTGCTATCCAGTCTGTTAAGAATACTGCACAGCTATATCTAAGAAATTCAAAGCATTTACTGTATTATTATCACTCCTATATCTATTAGCATACAGTATCAGTACTGATTAGTTGTTTGTTATATGATCACTTTAAACAGGCTATTGCAATACAATATGAGGACAAACATCACAGTTTAGCTAAATGCAAACAACTTATAAGCAAAACACTTCAGTATCACAAATACTTTATTAATCCCCCGCAGGGAAACTGTGTTAAAAGTACTTAAAAGTAAACATTTGTTCTGTGCCATTTACAACTAAAAAACTATTGCTGCAATATTATCTGAAATATACTGAACTGGTGATATTAAAACATGACCTGTTCCAAAAGAGATATCTACCATTAACACCATTTACCAGCCAAATGCTGGTAAATCATGCAAGTGGCTGGTACTGTATGTTGCACGCACCAGCCAAAAATAACAATGGCAATCTATTGAGTGGCTGGTAACATTTCAACATTCACTAGGCTAGCCATTTGGCCAGTTTGACCTCTGCAACCGTATTGTTTAATTACACGGGGTCTCTAATTACATCTTTTAAGTCTACTATAAATAAACATATTCCTCTATCCTCTCACTCAAACCCAGTGTAATGGTAACCTGATAAACCTGTAACATTAACGTTACGTGGTCAACAATAAACCTGTAACATGCCTATAAACCGACAGATGTATTTATGTATGTAACTATGTATTTTTCTACGTTTAACGTTAGCCAGTAGATGGTGGCAGCGGAACGTAATGATTAACGTTACCGACCTTTTTTATGTCATGTCAAGAGTTGGATGTCAATGCCACTCAACGCAAACAAGTGTGACAAGCAAACATTCACTCATCTTTTCAAATATTCAGTTACAAAGCTAGTAGCAAGCTAAGTTAACATTACATAGCTGATGCTGAGCTAAACATGTTTGCTAACCGTCCATATGCGTTAATGTGACTGACCTCTCCAGGTGAGTTTTCAAGTGCCTGATGAAATTTGACGTTGTTGCACCAGCATCCTTGATTTTAATATTGCAGACTTTGCAGTGTGCGCTCCTTTTGTTGGTGCCGCCGGCGTTTTGTTCGAAGTTTTTATAGTTGAACATAATTACAAGCGGTACAGCTGCAGGTGTGCCGCCGGTCGCCATGGTGTTACCATGATGTTAATGTTAAAGGTGGGGTAGGTAAGTTTGAGAAACCGGCTCGAGATACACTTTTTGTTATATTCCATGGAATGCTCTTAACATCCCGATAGCCGGCCCGGCTAAAATAACTGGATGGCCTACTTGCCTGTCAGCCTTCCATCGGGGCACAAACTTATCTCGTGCCCTCATTGGTCATGTGCGCGTTCGTGTGTGTTGGAGGAGGGGCTCTGTGAGGAAGTGGCAGATTTTCTCCGGTTGTGTATTTTCAAATTCTAGCGATCTCGAGCTGGTTTCTCAAACTTACCTACCCAACCTTTAATACGCCAAAAATAGAAAACACAATGATTGTTCACGAGTCCCAAAACACGAGTCCAAGTCGAGTCCGAAGTCTTTTGAGCAGGAGTCCAAGTCAAGTCTGAAGTCTCTGTGTGTGCGACTTAAGTGCGACTCGAGTCCGAGTCACAGACTCGAGTCCCCATCTCTGGGTTGTGTGACTCTGGATAGAAAGTGACACTTAAACAGTTTAGGCTAATATACATCCTTGTGACACTTATCATAGCTTAATAATATATGTTTGTATTTACAGATGTGAAAAATATAATGATGACATAAAATATGGTGTAAACCAGTAGCCAAAAAAGGAAATATGAAGATAGGAAATCCTGTGCAGATGTATCCATCCATCACTCATGGTAGCATGAGTCGGGTCGAACCCATTCTGATGGTTCTGACTGAATTGAGAAAAGTGGCTTGGTAAGCACTTCTGAAAAGCAGTGATGACTGAAAGTGGCACATTGAATGTAATCACACCGGCTGCTTGGCTGTATTAAACCTATTATACATAAACATGTGTCCCTCTGTGTAAAGAGATTCTGGAAGTTTCAGGAAAAAAGATTCTCTCTTTTTGTCCTGATCAGAGGTCGCGTTAACTGAATATTCGTTTTCAAACCTAACTTTGCCGAACAGATCAACAAAGGTATTTGCTTTACGCTGTGCGCGCTCCCGCCAGGTGCTGTGGGCATGCATAACACGGTGCTAACAGTTCACGAGTGTGCTCTCTCCCGATTACAACAATTGTGTTCAAATCTTGAACTTTGTATGGTAGAGCTGAAAACATGATTGAATTATTTATCAAGTAAATATCAAATCATTAGTGCCACTTTATAGAACGTCAGGAAAGTCTTTTGACAGATTATTGCCAAATAAGATATTGGGGGTTGCCATCCTAGTGTATGAGAATGTTTAATACAAAAAAGGGGCTGATGCTTAATATCATGATGGTACACGTAATATTATTTTCACATGAAAACATTTATAATGTGTTTGCTGTGCCAAAGAGTGTAATGGTCAGTCCTATGTTTAGTATGATGGTGTCTAATTGCTGCATGTTGTTTGCGTAGCTTGTGACGAGTGCTATGTGTGGTGTTTACAGGCTCTGGTGTGCCAGGGAGTGAATAACCAGAGCTACATCTGTGAGTCGGGGCACTGCTGCGGAGAGACTCAGTGCTGCAGCTACTACTATGAACTGTGGTGTGAGTGACCCCCTCCTCTTCATTCTGACCACCTGAATGGGTTCTCATCAGGACACCTATTCAATGATGTGAAGCAAAAATAGACAAGACTAAAAGCACATTTAATTACATAAATGTATCCATAAAAAAAATCCATGCTGCTCATACAATGTGCATTTACTATATTTAACTTAATCCAACACATATTACACGTAAGAGTGAATCCTCTGCAAAGAGATGAGGATGTCTAATCTGAACCTGTTCTGCATCATTTTCTCTCATTCAAATTGCAGATGGGTGCTTCTGTAACATAAGGACTCCAAATGTATCAGGGCAACCTCTGCTACTTTATCAGGTGGTAAGGTTACGTTTGTTAATTGAATGAACAACCAAGCCCAGCTGAGACCCAGGTTGAAGTTATAGTGTATAGCAGTTTGGTAACTAATACAGTATGGGTCGGCAACAGGCGGCCCACGGGCCATTGGTGGCCCGCCAGCAATAATATTTGGCCCGGAAAATTAGCTTTGTTTTTGAAAGAAAAGTTTTGGCTCATCGGACATTTATGAGAGTAAATACCTAATGTCCGAGTGCAAGTGAATGCAGCACAAGACTCGATCCTTGTAACCCCTCCCCCGGCGCGAGCATTGGAAATGTGATTGGCGGCGATTTCATTTGAACGGGACGGTGACAGAGAAGAGACTGACACGTTTGGCTGTACTCAGCATTGAATCAAAACGCACTAAAGCTTTGGATCTTAATCAGTTTGTGAGGCGTCTTGCTGAACAAGATGGTAATCGCCGCATTCAGCTGTTATAGGCAACTCGATGCTCTGCTCATGGATGACTCGGTGAGCATAACAAACTGTTAAATAGAGGACCTTACGTGTGTAAATATTTATTTTTCTTTGAGGGGGTCTGCCCCCAAAAAACAGTTTTAAGTCCTGAGAAAGTCAAATGAGACGGTGTGTAAAATAGTGCTGGGGGGAAACGATTATTTTGAAAACGATTAATCGGGCGTTTATTTGATCGATTAGTCGACTAATCTAATGATTATTTTTCTGTTGTTCAATTCATAAAAAACGTAATGTAAAAAAAACGTAATATAAAACATTTTTTTTTCACGATACTGTGTCTCAGGGGATCTTAATATTTAAGAACCTATTAATGTGTTATACCAGATTAACGGAAATAATCTCAGCTAACTGACGATACAAACCATGTTTACCAAAACAAAACACAAGTCTCATAAGAAGCATCTAAATGACCCCTGAGCGAAAAATGCAAACGGACATTGGCACAGAACTCAAGATAAAAGTACCCTTATTACTTATCGTAGCTGCACATACAATATATCCGATTAAAGCTGAGACTCCACAGATTATGTAGGTATATAGTATCATCACTGAGTGATCCGGACTCGCGACAGGGGAAGCAAATACAGTCATCACAACACGTACCTTCACAGAGCTTCTAGGGAGATCGTCTCACCACCGTAGCTGTCAATCTGATCAAAAGACGTGTTCAATGGCATTAAAATGAGAAAAAACGCGGCTGAATCGGTTAATCCATAGGTTTTTAACGTCTATGTATAAAAAAATGATTGAATTTATAATCCATAATTCCATTTTATGTAAAAATCGGAGAGCAAATGCTAGCTGCTAATGGTAGCCACCACAGCTAGCTGCTGCTTCTGCTAGGCTATGCAGCAGTCTCAGTGAGATATACATATATAAATATCTTTGCGTTTTGGACTAACTTTAAAATATTCCCATGCTTTTGAAGACCTAGGGCGAGATGTTTTCGTTTGAGGGCTTCGTGCGCAATCCTGTGAGGAGGAGGTGGTAGCCGTTTCAGTCTCCATTGTTTGAAGTGCGATTGCGAACTGCTTGTTGCTTTGGGTGACCCACGTGTGTGTGGCGTCATACAGTCTATGGTGGCGACGCGTCGACGCGGAAATATGTCGTCGACGATATTTTGAAGTCGACGCGTCGTCGACGCGTCGCTACAGCACTAGTGTAAAACTACACAGCCCAGCCAACAGAAAGTAACCACTTTGATTGAACTAGGCCAGTAGGTAAGGACTTTCCACTGGATAATAACTGCAACGATTTGAACAATCAATTACTTAAATTAGCCTTTGATTATGTTCTGGCCCGTCATCTAGTGGCTCAGAAATGTTTTGGCCCAAGGCCAAAGTTACTTGCCGACCCCTGTAATACAGGGTGGCAGATCTCACTACTTGCCACAGTTGAACTTGTTTTTCAGCGCTGAAGCAAAGATCCTTTGTGTATTAAAAATACTTTGTACATGGCACCATTGTGAAGGTGTGTTTGGTGGATGTGCTGTGGGCTCCCTGCAGGGTTCTGGTTGGTGTGGACTCTGATCGTCATCCTCACATGCTGCTGTGTTTGTCAGCACTGGCGCTCCAAGCAGCGCTTCCAGCAGCAGCGGCGGCAGAACGAGATCAACCTCATCGCCTACAGAGAGGCTCACAACAACTCCCAATTGCCCCTCTATCTCAGTAAGAGCTGCCTCCTCACATTCCACTCAGGAACAGCAGAGTACTCAGATCTGCTACTTGAGAAAAGTAGAAGTACTCAGATCTGCTACTTGAGAAAAGTAGAAGTACCAGAGTGTAGGAATACTCTGCTACAATTAAAAGTCCTGCATTCAAAATGTTCCTCAAGTAAAAGTAGAAAAGTATGATCATCAAAATATAGTGAAAGTAGCGACAGTAAAAGTAGTCGTTGTGCAGATTGGTCCATTTCAGAATAATAGATATGATATGTTTTCTAATGATTGATCATTAAAGTGTTCTCAAAGCTGGTAAAGGTGCAGCTAGTTTGAATGACTTTGTATACTGCAGGGTAGCTGGTGGATTTACTCCAGGTGGAACTAAAGTCTGATTCAACACTTGATTAGATTTCACATAATTCATCCACATCTGTGAAGTAACTAAAGGTATTAAATACATGTAACTTCTAAATTGTAGTGGAGTAGAACTAGAAAGTAGCAAACAATAGAGCTCAAGTAAAGTACAAGTATCTCAAAATTGTACAGTACTTGAGTAAATATACTTAGTTACTTCCCACCTCTGATTGTTAGTCTGTACCTCAGGAAGAGTGGCTTCACTCCAGAGTAAAACTGATCAGGACGATGTCGAGTAGAAGTGTGCCTTTGTGTTTGACCTGACTGTACTCTGGGGTGTGTTATTGTCCAGGATTCCTGCCCACCTACCTGCTGCCGGCCTATGAGGAGGTAGTGGACCGGCCTGTCACCCCCCCTCCTCCCTACACACCCCTGCAGTCAGCTCCCCCGCCCACAGACCCTGCTGAGGACTCTCCTTGTCCCAACCTCAGCGTCTCTGTTGGCAGTGATGCTGATACAACGCTGCCTCCAGAGGTCCCACTCAGCCCCCTCCACAGCGCCTCTCCCCCCAACAAGGACTCGACCCCGGGCAGGTACCGGCGCTTCACAGGGGATTCTGGGATTGAAGTGTGCGATGGCCAGGAACTGTGGGATCAGCACAGCTTTATAGAAAGAGAAGTAACGGAGGAAGAGGGGGTGGGGAAGATGGAGGAGCCATGTGATGGATTTGAACATGTCAGCGGTGCGGTGCTTCACAGACACACAGAGGTGGAAACAGAGCCACAGCCTCACAGCTAATGCTAGATAAAGACTCACAGCAGCAGACACTGAGCAGGTGTGTGGGACAGGCCTGGAGACAAATGAAAGGCAATGATACACAATTTGCCCTATTATACCATTTAAAGCTTGACCAACTGAAGCTTTGCAGATTCTGATACTTTACTTTTTTTAAACAATAAACTATGTAATACATATTTTTACATTTACATGAAAACTTATCATAAACATTTATTCCTGAAAGAATTGCAACCAAGGTCCATACCAAGTATAACATTGATTTGAGATTGTGGCTCATACACTGATACTGTAAATGGGTGGTGAGCTGATGTCCTTCTGTTGTCTAATACTAGCTATATCAATAATATCTCATATCAATGTGATCAAGTACTTCAAGTGTCTATTAGCCCAATCAGACGGTCCCAGCAGGTGTTGGTATAACAGTGAATGATAGCTCTGGCTCACGTCAGTCTGAGCTCCATGCTACTCTTGGTGTAAACACACAGCTTCTGAACAGAGGAGTGCCATGTAGCAACATGCTGTAGAAATGCTGTCCATCAACTTTCAACCTCCCTGACAAACAACTCGTTTTTGAAGCATCAATTACCTTTTCCGTAGATGCATTTGAATTCACACTTGTATCCATGAGACGTCATAATGCCACTCATGGTGGCAGAGCTCAGGTCCATAGCAGCATGTGAAGCAGAGCCACAGCAACGCAGACAAACTAATGCATGTTCTGCATTGTTTCTCAATGAAGCTCCACTCCTGCTCTCATCAAAGCATTTACCAGGGAGAAATAAGAGAGGGAGCAGGTGTACATGAACTGCATACATCAGAAGCACAGCTAACTACTAATATCAGGGCTTATTGCTAAATGTCATTCTAGAAAATAGCTTCATGGTGAAATCTGTCCCTTTCAGCCTTTAAAGGGTGCTACACAGGCCTTACAGTTCCACAGCCAGCTGGGATCTGACACGCATGGGATGGTTTGTTAAGGACATTTGACCCTATATATAAATAATAAAGCTGTATTTATATATATATATATATATACAGAATATAACATGATATTATGTATAAGGCAAAGAAACAGCTGACCAAAGGATCCAAAAATACACTTAAAACAGATGAAGAGTTGGCAGTGGCAATAAGCAGCGCATTAACCAAAAGACGCACCGCTCCAGGTCCAGATCCAACCAGAAGTGGGAGTTGGGGGGGAATGGAAATCAAATAGGCTCATATGGGAGCAAATTGGACAGTAAAACTAAACACAAGGACCTTAAAACAATCCCCAAAATATTTTGGACGGTGAGGAGAGAAGGAGAGTGGATGATCCACAGGCAGAGATGGAGTTCTTCGAGGAGGAGCTGTGACTGGGCGGGTTAGAGAACAGTCTTCCAGAACACTTCCCTTTTGGATCCCTGAGCTGTAGGTTGTGATCATTTTGATTAAGGCCCCTCTTCTTCTTCGAGTCAAGTATAGTCATTGTAGCACAGTGAGTGCAGTGTGGAATGATGCTAGTAATGCTTCTTTTACAGATGGCTAGGACCACAAACCAAAGTGTTTCTAGAGAGCATTTGTTACTTCTCTCTTGGAGTTGACTCAGTTCTAAGTTCTTCTTTTTTCTGTTAGGCCTAAGAGTTTATTTCATTTAGCTGACGCTTTTTATCCAAAGCGACTTACAATGACCGATTACAGGGACATTCTCCCTGGAGTAACCGAGGGCCGAGTGCCTTACTCAAGGGCACACTAGTGGTGGTGTTCCAGACGGGATTTGAACTCGCAACCTTCCGATCTTCAGCCCGCCTCACTATCCATTGGTTAGACCACCACTCAGGGCTGCCCCTGGCCAACTTGGGGCCCCAAGCGACATTGTGAGATGAGGCCCCCCCCCAACCGACAGGAGTGAAAAAAAATGTGTTTGGAAACAAAGTAGGCTACTTTGCAAATATAATTCCTGTTTATTATTATACAAAACACTTTTTTATGCAGTGAGGTAAATGGTAAATGTGCATGTATGTCGTTCAGTATGCGTTTACAGGTGACTACGTCTGCATTTCCTGCCAAATACTAGCCTCAAAAAGATTAAAATATAATTAATGCAAATAAACAACTTCTACTAATAATAATCATAATCATAATCAATTCAATAATATAAATACTATATTATTTTATTATAATATAGTTGTATAGTCAAGACAAAACATGCTTATGACATGCTCAAAAACTGATATTTCTTAAATCTGTATTCAAATGTAGTTCCCTCTGTCAGCAATGTATCAACAACTACACACACATTTCTATCAGTACAGTATTTCTCTGTGGTGTGGTTGACATGATGATGACTGTTAGGAGTTAAGGGGAGAGGCTGAGCATCACCATGAAATGTGCAAATTGACATAAAAATGAATATAAGGGCGAAAAATGCTCCATATTTTTTAGGCTGTAAACTTTAACTGTTATGTAAGCCAACTAGACAGAGAGTTTATCACTCTTCCTCCTGTACATTAGCAGATAAAAGGTATCACATACTTGAATGAATGGTAAATAAAGAATGCTGGAAATAACTGCATCTCCATTAGCCTTTGCTCTGCAGAGACTGCCTTCTTCATGTCGTGAATTGCAGCTGATGTTTTAATATGGCAATTGGCAGTTTGACTTATACAACATTCGCAAGTTGTACATTTGACTCATACAATAACCCACCTTCGAGTGATGCTCTAGTTTCTTCATGTTTTGTTTTTATCCCCTCTTCCTTGTGCCGGACTGAAACTGTCTTTTCACCGACATCTCTTCACCTGCACTAGTGGCCGTATCAAAGCCGTGATTGGTCAGATGTCGATTCATAGCAACGGTGTCGGGTTACAGACGTGCTCCCCTTGTCACCTCTCACTCTCGCGTGTCAGCCGGGGGTGCGCGGAGAACTGAGCGGAGAACTGCGCACAGCAGCTGAGGCCCTCTGGGCGGGGCCCCCTGCGCAAGGCGGGGCCCCATGCAGCCTGCGTGATTGGCCTGTAGGGAAGGGCGGCCCTGCCACCACTACTACTATGTCCTCAATAATGAACCAGTATGTTTAGAATTTACTGTAAGAACTCATTTTCACTACCAGTTTGGCATAAACTAAATACAATTGAATGCAGAAATGTCCTCAGGTCAAAACACAAGATCAATAAATCGTAGTCGCAATTTCTACAGGCTCGCACTTACCTGTTAGCATCTGGCATCTGTTAGCATCTAGCAGCATCTAGCTCTCCTGCTTACAAACTTTTAGCCATCCCTGCTTATACAAGTAGTAGTTTTAGTTGTCTGCGAACTGTGGAGGCCTACTCCCACCTGTCGAGTGCGGCTGTACTGAGGTGTTTTTCCTCCGGAGACGTCGCGAAGAGACGGAGCGGCTCCACCTGTTGCTGCCTGCGATCTGCGATTTACGGAGGCCTGCTCGTCGCGAAGAGACGGAGCGGCTCCACCTGTTTGCTGCCTGCGATCTGCGATCTACGGAGGCCTGCTCCCACCTGTAGAATACGGCTGTACTGGAGAGGTTTTTACCCCGGAGTCGTCGCGGAGAGACGGAGTGGATCCACGCTTCGGGCTTGGCCTGCTTCCACCGGGCGTGTGCTGCTGTGCGGAAGAGGATTTTACCACAGCTGGGGCCTGCTTTCCACCTGTCCTGGTTCTGCTGTTGCAGAGGCCTGCTTTCACCCCGGGGATACCACGGAGGGACCGGAGCGCTTCCACGCTGCTGTTTTTGCCTGTCCTTGGCTGCTGTGCTGATTTTGCTCCAGGAACATCGCGGATACTGTGTGCTGGTCTGGAAAAATGGCCCATATCGGGATTCTGCTGTGCCTGTTAACTGTTTTGGACTATGAGAAGATCTCTAGTCATTCTGAGAAGACTACTGGATTCAGGTCTGTTCTGCCACCCGCAGTGGGCATCCCCTGCAAAGGTTCGGATGTGTTGCTCAAACAATTACCGGTTGCCTTGTCACAGTCAATCTGCTCGACAAAATATGTTTGTCTTTTTTGTTTTCCTGCGATGATGGTTCTTCAGGACTGCTTCTTAAGCTCTAATCACCCTCTCGCAGACTTTTACGGTGTTTCTAAATTAGATGACAATGTATTTGTGTCGTTTAAGAGGAAAAGATGCCTGTTTTTGTTGTTGTTATTACTGTCAGGAAATGTACAACCTAACCCTGGTCCGCCCAGTAGTAGTAGTCAGATCGCTACTCCTGCTGATTTTAAAGCTAGGTCTGGGTTGGGTTTCATCCAATTGAATGTGCGCAGTCTGTTAGGTAAACTAGATTTTGTCCGTATCTGGGCAAAATCGACTGACGCTGACGTCATTGTCTTATCAGAAACATGGCTAAACAAATATATTTTGGCCTCTGACATTGCCTTAAATGGTTTTAATGTGTATCGTACCGACCGGCCTAATAAAGGTGGTGGCGTTGCCATTTATATTAAGAATAAGTTCAGTGTAACCACATTAGTTTCCAAATCGATCAGTAAATATAGAAGTGGCAAAGGGTCAACAGGTCATGGTAGTGAGTTGTTACAGACCCCCCTCAGCTGTCAAAGATTCCTTGTCTTCACTAGCAAATATTTTATCACAACTAGACTACAAGGAAATAGTGCTACTTGGAGATTTTAACTGGGACTGGTTAACTGCAGTGTCAGAGGATTTAAAAAACCTTTGTATCTCTTTGAATGTTACTCAGATTGTTGACAGTCCTACTCGCCCAAATATTAAGTCCCCTAATAAATCCTCCCTAATTGATCTCATTTTAACTAATGTTCCCCATAAATGTTCATCTGTGGGAGTGTTTGCAAATGATCTGAGCGATCACTGTGTTGTAGCCACAATTAGGGACACTAAGGTCCAAAAGGTTAAACCTCGCATTATCATTAAGAGAGACAAAAAACATTTTGTGGAGCAGGGTTTTGTGCATGATCTGTTTGATTTTGATTGGGGTAAAATCAATCTGTGTGCTGATGTGGAAACCGCATGGTCTTATTTTTATCTTGGTTTTATGGAGATCATTGATAGACATGCACCCCTGCGTAAATTTAGAGTGAAGGGACGAGACAATCCTTGGTTTTCTGCTGAGCTGTCTAGTCTCCTTCATGAGAGAAACAAGGCCTGGGCAAAGGCTAGGCAATCAGGCTCAGAGGTAGAGTGGCTGCGTTTTAGGCAGCTAAGGAATAGCTTCACTTCAAATGTCAAAAGTGCAAAGTCGAAGTACTATTTGTCAGTTACCACAGAAAACCTAAATAATCCTAGGAAATTTTGGAAAGCAATAAAATCGATATCCACCGGTGAGATCCGTAATGAGCTACCTCCGTGCCTTACCACAGCATCTGGCACTATATCGGACTGGGCCACTATGTTAAATTGCTTTAATGAGCATTTTGTGTCCTGCGGTTCTATGTTTGATTCTGTGACTAACTCTGCTTTTGTGAACACCCCAATCCGTGACTCTGAACAATGTGGTCTGGAAAACCCTTTCAGTTTTACTCCTTTTACTGTCAATGTTGTTCATGAAGCCTTATCTAAGTTAGATCCTAAGAAACCGGCTGGCCCGGACAACGTAGAACCTTTCTTTTTAAAGATCGCTGCAGATGTTATTGCTCTTCCTCTTACTACTCTTTTTAACCTCTCCCTCAGCACAAATGCAATTCCAAAAGTATGGAAGTCAGCTTATGTCTTGCCTTTGCTAAAAGGAGGGGAGGCAACTATTTTAAATAACTATAGGCCAATCTCTAAATTGTCAGTTCTGGCGAAGGTGCTCGAACGCCTAGTGAGTGAACAGGTAAAGGAGTTTTTATGTAAAAATGATATCCTGTCTAAACATCAGTCAGGCTTCAGAAAACAACATAGCACCATCACTGCCACAATGAAAGTGGTGAATGACATTACGAGTATTTTAGACAATAAGCAGAGTTGTGCAGCTCTATTTATTGACCTTTCCAAAGCGTTTGATACCGTCGATCATCACATCTTAAAGCAGAGGCTACTCAGTATCGGCATATCCAGCCATGCAGTGGGTTGGTTTGTGAACTACCTATCTGAAAGGTCCCAATGTGTTCACTTTGATGGGCTGTCTTCTGAGTGGTTAAACATTGCTAATGGTGTTCCTCAAGGTTCTGTTTTAGGTCCACTTTCATTCTCCATATATATCAACAGTTTAGGTCAAAATGTGGATGAAGCAACTTTACATTTGTATGCTGATGATACCGTGATGTATTGTGCAGGTTCCCTCCATTAAGGAGGCTGGTGTTAAATTACAGGCTGTTTTTAAAATTATTCAGACTCAGCTCGCTGAACTTAAGCTTATTTTAAATGTTGATAAAACCAAGGTAATGCTATTTTCAAAAGCTAAAAAGACACCAGAGCCTGTTTTGGATATTGTTACTATGCAAGGACAAGTACTTGAAGTGGTTACCAGTTATAAATACCTAGGTATCTGGCTTGATGATTGTCTTACTTTTAAACTTCAGGTCATTAATCTGCTTAAAAAGCTGAGGGTTAGACTAGGTTTCTTTTTCAGAAACAAGTCCTGTTTCTCTTTTGAAGCCAGGAAAAGGCTAGTCACTGTGACCTTTTTACCTGTGCTGGACTATGGTGATTTGATCTATATGAATGCACCTGCCCATTGCCTGGAAAAGTTAGATGCCGCCTATCACAGTGCCCTGAGATTTGTTACTAACTGTAAAGCACTTACTCATCACTGTACCCTGTATGCCAAGGCAGGTCTGCCTTCACTAACTGTACGGAGGCTCAGTCATTGGTACATGTTCATTTACAAAGCCATGTTGGGTAAACTACCTTTTTATATCTGCTCTCTGATCTCTCCACGAATTGAAAGTACTTATTGCCTGAGATCTCATGATGTTGTTTTATTAAATGTGCCAAGTGCTAGGACTGTCTTAGGGAAGAAAGCTTTTAGTTGTGCAGCTCCACTAACTTGGAACAGTCTGCAAACATGTTTAAAACTGAGCACTTTGGTTCCCCTGCATCATTTTAAAACTCGGCTGGGTGACATGCTGTTTGATACTCATGGTACCTGTCTCTGTAAATAGAGTTTGTAAACTGTACCCTGTACATTATGTTGTTTGTCATCCTTATTGTTGTTCTGTTGTTTTTATGTTACATGTGTAACTAATGTCCTGCAGGTCACCCTTGAAAAAGAGATCTTTTGATCTCAAGGGGCTTTCACCTGGTTAAATAAAGGCTACAAACAATAAACAAACTGGTGTGTGGTTTCTTGACGACTCTCCCTGAAGCACATGACAGAAAACCTGTCCCGTTGTACGACAGTGCAAAGTATGTAAACATATTTCACCTTACGCACCTGAAGAGAACAGGCAAAAGCAAACAGGTTGTCGCTGATCACCTCACTTCGTAACGTCCACCGAGTCTCCTACCCAAAGGACTCGAGTCAGCACAAAATGTATTTTTACCACCAAGAAAGGAGAATATGAAACGTCAGTTCCTTATTCATAAGGTTATTGTGAAGCCCTGTAATCATTAGGCGTGTGGGCATGAGGACCAAGATGAGACGTTGTGAATTTGATGTGGTTTTTGAATGAGTCAACAGCACAGAAAAAGGCTTTTATGTCTTAAAAATAACTACGTTTATTATAACAGCATTTACACATTTCCTCAGTGTCACACACAGCAAGGGCAGAGTTGTATACTTTAAACATCACTTTCATAGCAGTCTTGCATTTTGGATATGTTGACTGCAGCAGAACGTTCAGCCTTCATCAGCCTCATCCTCCAACAGGAAGTCTCTGATCTCCTCCCTCAGCTGAGACCTGCAGGACAACAGTCACATATATCATGCTCCATTCTAAAAGGGAGAAGCACAGTTCTGTGTTCCTAACTGACCTCCTGAGCCTCGTCTCAGCCTCCGACAGGATGTACTGCGGGAGAACCTCCTCAGACGACTGGTGAGAGAACAGATCAAGAGACAGGGACACGACAGGTGAACGTCAGTAGCATTACAAAAATAAAAAGCATATTTTTAATTCACGAGAGAAAATAATGAAGATCTAAACTGAACAAACGGCTAAAAGTTTCATTTAAGTGCTATGATGTGTATTCATGTATTATTATTTTGAAGTACTTGTCTATAGATAGTTACATCATAAAGTACAGACACATCAGATTAATATGAAGTCAGTTATAAGGTCATTTGCCGAGGTATTTAGAATATTGTGAGTGTGAGAAGTCAAATGTCTAACTCAGTGTATTGAAAAGGTGACTGGTGGATAGATTATAGTCTAATGATGTATGATATCATTTTCTGTGCAGGTTGCAATGATGGAGGGATGAAAGTGAGAGTAATCGTGTAAAGAAAGCTACTCATTCTGCAGAACTATCATATATTTACCAACAGCAGGCACATGGTCTTCCTCATTGAGTCCTTTGACCCCTGCTCATGGAATTTTCAGTGAGATGATGCATGATGGGAATCTGTTTTCCGTTCTGTGCTTTTAATGCGAAATGTCTTAATCAAATGAATGAATTGGAAGGTGCCACAGATGTTGAATTGTTATTTCTGTCTTCACTTAAGTGATATTAGTTTATTTAGTGATTGTCATGGCTACTATTATGCTTTTTATATTTCAAAAGGACTTTCAAACACTTTCAGTGACCCATGTCTATTTTTAAAACTTCAAGAGCTTGATTTTTGTCTCCTCAAAGTCAAACATTAAATGATTTAACTGACCCCTGTAACAACAAATACAAAGTTTAGATTGTGTCCCTCACCATGTCTTTGATGGTCAGCTGACAGCTGTAACACAGCAGACTCCTCAGGGGGGGGGGCTCTGAGGCTCTGTCACACAACAACACCACCACAGCATTTATTCATATTATTTTGTTTTTGTGTCCGCTTTACAATTGCACCCAAAAAATATAATGATATCACGTGAAAAGACACAAAGACTACGAAGCTGCACAAGTAATGACATCAGCCACAGCTTTATCTGTTCACTGTTTATGTTGACGGTGCTAATTCTAACACGCTAAAGTAAGATGGTGATGATAATGCTACGTACATGTTAGCATGTAGCTTACTGTGAGAGCAGCATCACGGATCCTGTCTTCTAGTCTCGATACAAGACACCTCCAAAAGTCCATGGCACACTATACTTAGAATACTTTCACTACTTTGCCCCGCTGCAGACTGTAACACCACTGCTGAGAGATAACAATACTATGAGCAAAACACACTTGTTATAACTGCCTGCTACTTGAATACTTTTACTTACTATTCATTAACGCAGCTACTTATTTTTTTACCATGTATGTGTACTTATTTGATTACATCTTATAAACGTATGCTCGCCTCTTTGTTTATGATGTTAGCCCACTCTTTTGTGTTTGCCATTTAAAAAGGACTTCTGAGTCCAGCAACTCCCGTGTTCTCATCAAGGTAGTCTTCTGGCTTTAAAGGTCTCCTATTATGCTATTTTTAGGCATACATTATTTGCTCAAAATACCAAACAGATCATGCATTTTAGAAATCCCTCATATTGCTCTGTTTCAGCCGCATTAGAGAACTGCTGATCTGTGTCCTTAGCTTGAAAAAAAAAAAAAGAGGAGGGGGAGCTTGTGCATGCTCATAATTCTACCCTAAACGCCATCATGTTCCAAACCACATTAAGGATTATTTCTGAAACAGTATGGAGCTCAAATGCTTACTTTTTCGCGGGTTCAGCACAAGGTGAGTTCCTTTTTTTATTTCCTGCTTTTTTACACATACTCTCTCCAGTACAGGTTAGCTCTGAGTGTTAGCGATGCTAATGTAAACACAGACCATATTACGTCCAAAACAGTCGGGCATTGATTCTGATAGCAACTTTCTGATAGGGACGTGGGTGTAAAGCCAGCCCACATTTCAGATATTACGTCATATCGGACGCAAATCTGGATCAGCTCCGTTGTTTTAGATTTGGGTACGGAGGAAAAGAGAGAGGGTTTTGGTTTCTGACACTTTGTGAGTTCCCTGACACACCGGGGACACATATTTATGTATAAAGGACCTACAAAAAAGTGCATTTTGCAAGATAGGTGAGCTTTAAAAAGGAGCACAGAACAGCTTCAGTTTCCTTTTCTGCTGCTGTCCTGTCGTCAGCAGCAACAGGCTTTAGTTCTGTTTTCTACTGTATGTAAAACTGACTATGGAGAGGTTACTCAAACAACCTCCCTTTAAACAATCTGAACCTTTTCATTTGGTGTCGATAAGACCCATGATTGGAGTAGATCAATAAATCACTCAACACTTACTTGGCAGACGAACAGCATCCTCTACCACGGTTCCCACAAAGCTCTCCTCTAACAATGGAGCAGCACTGTGAGGCGGGAGCAGTCCACTCTGGAGCTGTAATGAAAACACAGGTAACTGAAATCAACGCCTAACAAGTGTAAGAGCTCATCTGCATGGGGTACTCAGTGTGTATATACACCGTACATAATACAATATCTGATTCATATTCCATCACTGACAGAAGCATCATTCTATGGCTCCAACTGGAATAGTGACGTTTGCTCATAGTGATCAACTTTCTCCGTATCCAGATTGACCCAAGGCAGAGTACAGGCTGTGTGATCATTGGCTAACAGTATATGTACCTTGCCTGCTCTCTTCTGGAGACTTAGTCTGCGAGAGCTGCTCTGAGATCAGGGTGGCGCTGAAGGCTGAAGCATTCTCTGGAAAAGAGAGGGACACGAAGACAGAGAGAATGAAGAACGATGTACGTTTCTGAACATGTCCACTTCAACGTCACATCATTAAATCAAAGAACAGAGCTCCAAATGTTTGATATCTTGGTGCCATTATCTGTGAACAGAGATGTATTATGATGTCTGCAGAAGATAAGTAAGACTTAGCTTTTAAGTTGAAATTAAAATAAAAAAGTAGTATTAAAACAAATTAGAACATGGTGTGTGGGGCTCACCAGCAGCAGTGTCCAGGGCGCACACACACAGCAGACACCTGTCCCTCCCCGCTGAGGCAGAGCCCTTGCAGCTCTGTAGCTTCTCGCTCGTCCTGACACACACACACTTTAAGTCTTCACACAGCTGTTTGTGCATGAAAAACATGACAATGACTGTATATTACCAATAGTGTATAATAAATGATAATACAAAAATGATTTTAATGATAAAAAGCAGGCAGTAGTACATATACCGTTTAGAGAAAATCTGCAGCATCCCTAAGTGAAAGCCCTGACATGCTCACACTGACCTGTAGATGGTGCTGACGGTGGAGGGGAAGTTTGCCTGCAGCTTGATGACAAAGCTCTCTGTCAGATGCTGGATGCTGGACTTGTCTGCAGTCTGTGGGGGGGGGGGGATAACAAACTGAGAGTCAATCACAACAGACCTGATCAGACAGATTACACACACTTTGATATCACAGTACCCACTAGGTGCCACTAAACACCAACATTTCAACTTTCAGCTCAACTACAAGCAGACTCTGGATGACAAACGGAGCTTTCGGAATTGGTAAAAGGCCTCAATGCAGCTCGAGAAAGAATGCAGGTGAAGTGACCATGAAATATCGATTAAAGAAGAATGGAAAAACTTGCTAGAGAAGGATCTGGTAAGTAACCCAGAGGCCCAAGACGGGATCTAAGCACAGCTTTGATCTCAGAGAGTTTGCAGACTTTCTCCGTAGTTACGAGGTTGCCATGGTCCACATCAAGGCAATAGAAATCTTGAATGACCGTAATGAAAACAGGCAAATACATTTAAAGTTACCAGATTGGCTACCTGCAAGATGGAACCGGAAGGTTATTGAAGTGGAAAAAGAGAGTAACCAATTCCCCTCCTTTGTAATAGTAAAGTTTATAAAAAAGAAGCAGAGATTTCCTGCAAGCCTGTCAAAACATTATTGCAATCACTAAAGCAAGATGAAAGCTGAAAAAAACAAAATCTCAAAGACAACAAAGCTTTGCAGCAAAGTCACTGACCACAGGTTCGGACGAAAAGACTGTCAATAATACAGAGTACTCTGTACTGTAGCCTCTGTGTATGATCCCCTGGGGTTCATGGCACACTGTCCTTTTGGGTAAGCAGTAGTCCAGCAAATGTGCAGAGACAAGATCGGCTGGGATGAAGACCTACCAGAGAACCCACCTCAGTGGGAGTCCTGGATCAGAGATCTACCCAATCTGGCTGAGATGCAAAATAAAAGATGCTTCTTACCTTGAAGTTTCGGTAATGTCAAGACTGAACTTCCTGACGGGCAGACCCCAGGCAGTGCGGGTGGGAAACATCACATCCTCCACCCTGATCCTCAACACCGGAGCCCCTCAAGGCTGCGTGCTCAGCCCTCTCCTCTACTCCCTGTTCACTCACGACTGCGTGGCCACACACAGCTCCAACACCATCGTGAAGTTTGCAGGCACACGACCGTCATCGGCCAGATCACAGACGGCGACGAGACGGTGTACAGAGAGGAGGTCGAAAACCTGACACCTTGGTGACAGGATAACAACCTCCATCTCAACGTCAGCAAAACCAAGGAGCTGATTGTAGATTACAGGAAGCAGCAGAGAGAGGGACACGCCCCCATTGCCATCAATGGGACTACGTGGAGAGAGTCAGCAGCTTCAGGTTCCTCGGGGTCCACATCACTGAGGACCTGACATGGACTCATCACACCACCACCACCACCACCATCACCAAAAAAGCTCGACAGCTGCTCTTCTTCCTCCGCAGGCTGAGGAGGTTCAACATGGACTCCAGGATACACTGCAACTTCTACAGGTGCTCCATAGAGAGGATCCTGACCTTCTACAGGTACACCATAGAGAGGATCCTGACCTTCTACAGGTGCTCCATAGAGAGCATCCTGACCTTCTACAGGTGCTCCATAGAGAGGATCCTGACCTTCTACAGGTGCACCATAGAGAGGATCCTGACCTTCTACAGGTGCACCATAGAGAGGATCCTGACCTTCTACAGGTGCACCATAGAGAGGTAATCCTGACCTTCTACAGGTGCACATAGAGGATCCTGACCTTCTACAGGTGCACCATAGAGAGGATCCTGACCTTCTACAGGTGCACCATAGAGAGGATCCTGACCTTCTACAGGTGCACCATAGAGAGGATCCTGACCTTCTACAGGTGCTCCATAGAGAGGAATCCTGACCTTCTACAGTGCACCATAGAGAGGATCCTGACCTTCTACAGGTGCACCATAGAGAGGATCCTGACCTTCTACAGGTGCTACCATAGAGAGGATCCTGACCTTCTACAGGTGCTCCATAGAGAGGATCCTGACCTTCTACAGGTGCACCATAGAGAGCATCCTGACCTTCTACAGGTGCTCCATAGAGAGCATCCTGACCTTCTACAGGTGCTCCATAGAGAGGATCCTGACCTTCTACAGGTGCAACCATAGAGAGGATCCTGACCTTCTACAGGTGCACCATAGAGAGTATCCTGACCTTCTACAGGTGCACCATAGAGAGGCTCCTGACCTTCTACAGGTGCACCATAGAGAGGATCCTGACCTTCTACAGGTGCTCCATAGAGAGGATCCTGACCTTCTACAGGTGCTCCATAGAGAGCATCCTGACTGGCTGCATCACGGCCTGGTACGGCAGCTGCACCGCCCTCAACCGTAAGGCTTTACAGAGGGTGGTGAAAACTGCACAGAACATCACCAGGACGGAGCTGCCATCCATGAAGGACCTTTACTCCCAGCGGCTCAGGAAGAAGGCCCTCAGGATTATAAAAGACCCCCATCACCCCAGCAACAAACTGTTCTGTCTGCTGCCATCTAGCAGGCGTTACTGCAGCATCAGGACTAAAACCACCAGACTCAGGGACAGTTTCATCCCACAGGCCATAAGACTGTTAAACACCTGAACTGTTGAAACAATATCCATAATATCCCATCTGGCTGCCACTTCAAAAATATGTTTTAATTATTTATCTATTTACCTATATATCCTATTTCAATAACTTACATATAGACTCTTATTGCACTATTTCAAAAACTATTTTTCTTTTTATATTACCATTTACTTGCACTATATTTTTTCTGTTTATCAGTTGTCACTGTTGGAGAAGCCTGTGACACAAGATTTGACTACACTGTAGCTATGTTCGTTTGACTAAATAAAGAACCTTGAACCTTGATATGAACTTCATCACTTTGCGGCTGCAAGTCTCTCCGGATATGGTGAATGTGAACTTTTGAGCCATTAACAAGTCAGATGAAGTCCATTGATGTCTGGTAATGGGAAAGTCTAGAGTTCTACCAACCAAAGCTACAACTATACCAAGACTCAAACTCTCTGCTGCAGTTGTTGCAGTGCGTACCAGCGACATTCTCAGGAAATAACTAGAAATTCATGACCTGAAAGAGTTCTTTTGGACAGATTCCAAAGTGGTTCTTGGCTACATAAACAGTGTTTGTAGCTAACCGCATACAGAGAATCAAGTCAAGCCTGAAGCCTGAACAATGGGCTTATGTTGTCTCTAAAAGACAATCCGGCAGATTATGCCTCTCGAGGTTTAACTGCAGAGCAACTGAAGACTTCTAACTCAGTGGTTCTCAAATGGGGGTACGCGGACCCCTAGGGGTACGTTGGAGTACTGCAGGGGGTACGCGGACCCCTAGGGGTACGTTGGAGTACTGCAGGGGGTACGTGAGATTTATTTTATGTTAAAGAAAAAAGTTTGAGCAGTGTGAGTTTTATATTAACAGAGTTACACATATTTCAAAACGCGAAGTGTAATAACCAGAGGTGGGGACTCGAGTCACATGACTTGACTCCAGTCCGACTCGAGTCGCATTTTTGGACTTGAGACTTGCTTGACTAACATTGATAAAAGACTTGACTTGACTTTGTATTCATGACTTGAGACTTGACTTAAGCTTGAGATAGATGACTTGAAAGGACTTGAGTGTTTAAAATTAAATATTTGCGTTTGTATTGAGATATTATGTTTAGTTTTTCTAAACGTGATTGGGTGATTATAGCGCCGTGCGCGCAAACCTGGCAACCCACTAGAAGGCAGGAGTCTCAGTTAACATGGCAGCGGCTAGCTTTACTCCAAAAATAGTGAAGTTTGGATTCAAGGATTATTTTGTCCATGACGGTAATAAGAAGAGAACAGCGGTATGCAGGGTCTGCAGCATAAAGATCAGTGACACGACCACCACAACATCCAACTTCATTCGTCACTACAAAAAAACCCACAGAGAAAGGTGCGTGAATGTGTTGTGTTAGCTAGAAAGCTAATGTTAAGTTTACGTTAGACTTGGTTTCAAATCGATTAAGCATTGCAAAGAGAAGACAACACGGTAAATGAACACTAGAACCTCCAAGGGATTCATTTTGACTAACCCTGATACTGACGGGCTGTCAGGAGAGGGGGAGAGAGAGAGAGGAAAAGAGATGCCTCGTTTATTTCCCCATGTGTTATTATCAGAAGTTACTGTAAACTTTTGAATAATGTAGTTCATCTGCTTTTAGTAGTTTGTTTAAATGTTTTAATGATGTTGTTTTTGTTTGTAGAAGTGCATCATTCCTTGATTTATTGTAAAATGAATCTGAACTTTTTGATCTGTTATGATGATAAACTGAAGCCATTTCTAAATTAACCCAATTAAGTGAGTTTTAAATCGTCCTTAGTTTATAAGGAAATGATGAAGAGGAAAAAATGAAATGATTTGAAAATGATATCTATGTAGGTGCTGACGCTGTTGGTGGTTCTAGTGTTAACATCAATTTAAATTAAATATGTGTAATGGCAAATGCCATATATGATTTTCTTACCTGGAATTCTGCCTTTTTTAACAGACTTTTTGAGTCCTAGCTATATTGTCTACAGTTCTAGGGTTAATATTGATCTAATATGATTGTCATCGGTCTAAATTAGATTTCAAATGATGAACTGTGTATGTAATGAAGATCATAGTGTGGGTTACATCCATTTTCATAACCACTGTCTTTTAACTGATTTAAATGCGGAAACTGGGCTTATTCATCAGACTTTTGTATGACTTGACTTGTTTGACCTGAGCAATGACTTGACTTGCTTGACTCTCACCACAGGGACTTGGGACTTGCTTGATACTTGTAGGTCAAGACTTGAGACTTGCTCATGTAGGACTTACTCCCACCTCTGGTAATAACTGCAGTGGCCTTCCTGTCACTGAGAATAACAAAGGTTCCTCAGTGAAGCACAAGCCCATGTTTCTCACTAAATTGTTAGTACAACTTATTAAAAAGATCAGTTCAATGCAACTAATGTCGTCGTTAATAATGAGTGTTATTGCATGATGTTAAAATTGGTTTGCCATGAATTTAGTGATGGATTATAAACATTTGAAATGTAGCATTTAAGTGCTTCTCAGTTACAAGGTTGTTGTTTTAATAAATCAGACACTGATGGTGCAGCGCTGTACTGTACCTCTTCATAGGCATTTCTTCCCTAACAAATTGTTTTTGCGCTGATCAGGGGGTACTTGGCTGCATTTTTTTTCAAAGGGGGTACATTATTGAAAAAAGTTTGAGAATCACTGATCTAACTGGTTCACAGGACCGAAGTTTCTTTGGCAAAAGGACCTACCTGTCAGAGAATGCAAGGTGGGAGAAATCAAGGAGGATGATCCTGAACCTCGCAAGGCTCAACACTAAGGCAAAAGAAGACAGATCCTTTCTCGGATTGGTCAAGGGCAGTAAGAGCAGTTGCAAGACTGAAACGATATGTCAAAGAACACCAAGGTGTGAAACAAAGAACCAATGAGTGTACAACCATCAAAGAATGAAAAGAAGCAAAACTTTTCATCATCAAGCTAGTTCAAGAAGAGTCCTTAATTAAGACCTTTGAGAACAAAACATTGTTTGAAACAAAAGAAAGCAGTGACCAAGGCCAAAGACAGTAACCTGTGCAAGTTAAATCCATTCTTGGATTATTGGGGAATCCCTCCGGAGTGGAGTCATGACTGGAGCCTCACCAGACTCACAGGATAACAAGTGCAAACAAGCAGGGTTTGCACTTGTACAAACAGTTGGGGCTTTGTTTACAATTTATTTTATTTATTTATTTGGAGGTTTGTGTTCCAGCTGTGCGCAGCGTCTCCACTGCAGCCTGTGCATCTCAACCCCCCCGCAGCAACTCTATCCACCAGTTAAAGGAAATAAAACAAATGTGTTGTGTAATATCAGCTGTACAATTGACCAAATATATGCTGTTCTTAGTTTCCATACCTCCTGTGTTTTAAGAGCGACTTATCAAGTCTTGGCAAACGGCATATAAAACATGATAGTATATAAAACCATACTCGTATCTATACAACCTATAGAAAACAGCAGTTTAAAGTGATTCTGTCCTGTTTACTGCATCATTTATGAGAATACATTTCATAACATTAAGAGGACATATTCGAGGGGTGATCTATAGAGTGCCCCAGTGACGCGTCCTAAAACCCGGAAGTAAGTTAGCATTTTACCACTTCCGGTTCCAAAAAAACCAATGCAAATTCTCCATAGGGTTTTGGAAAATAGCTGGAAATAAGGTCTGTGGTTGAAACACATTTAAGAGACGGATCACGTTTTGTTCAGCCGGATAATCTCCACATGTCTACCCTACTTTTATAATTTTTAATCATAAATCTAAATCAATAGATTTATGATTTGATTTAAATGCATTGGTTTTTGTCGAAGGAACCGGAAGGAGTTTACTTCCGGGTTTTACATTTCCGTATATTTTTTGATTTCTCCAAGTTGTGTTTTTGTTTGCACTGAGGAGTCTCAAACGGGCATTTGTTTAATCATTTTAAGATTGGCTTTAATCAACTATTGCAAATGAATTCTTCATATACGATATATGGGTGGTCAATCATATTTATTAATAATGGTATTCATTTCACATATTTCTCTCCATTCTTCCTTCTGCCAACGGTGTCTCAGTTTATCATCTCTCCCCTCTCTGTGCGTACGCATGGGTCAGAGTGTCCGTGGAGGACCGCACATTTTCCAGTCAAGTTTGTATTTTATAAATCGCAAAGATTGCTTAGAAATTGGCGTACGCCATCCTTTGAGCGTACGTCACTTTTATAAATGAGGCCCGAGAGAAAAGACAGCGAAAGTACGATGCATGGCAGTCTACAGCTCCGTTAGTAAAAGTGAAAGTTTATGCTATTAAAGTGATAAGGATTCAAGAATACATCCCTATGTTTTCAGAGCATGCAGCCAACGAGGTATGTTGTTGTGTTTATATTTATTTAAAGTTAATTGATTTGCTAAAAGTCATCTCACATGCTGTGCATGTTATTGTGTGTGTAACATGGTCCTATGTTTTGTCATTTATACTATTTGTTTATGTGTAGTTTTCACGGTGGATTTGAAGAGGAATAAACCCGAAAGAGAAAGCCACTTGTGTCTGCCTGTGCTTCGAGGGAATTATACAACTAATGAGGTGAGATTCAGAAAATCAAGCTAGGAGCAGCCACGAGGTGTTTAGCAGCTTGAGGTCAGAGCCGTCTCACAGCAGGGCTTTACATGGTGAAAGTGCCACAGAACAACCTGATGTTTAGGATAAGAGATCAAACCAGAGGAAAGGAAGCAGCTCCAGACTGATCAGCACTTCCTACAGGATTCTGTGTGGATGTCCAAGGGGAGGGACATTAGGTTTAAAGAAATGGTTTGGAATTGCTTGTTTTATTCTTCTGCATCTCCAATATTTACAAAAACGTTTTTTTTCTGTTTTCTCTCCTTTCTACTTGTGTTTCCTTGTGAAACTGTGTGTTTTCTGCTGTGTTTCTGGCACATCTTACCTTAGTGTCCAGGCCCGCTGTGAACACCGACGGCACGCTGAACATACGGTTGTAGTAAGCTATTTCTTTAGCTGAGTAGTCCCTCATTGGCCTCACTAGTATGGTGTCACCATACCTGGAGTCTGAGAAACCCTGTAAACACATGCCATTAGCATTATTTGTTTGGTCAGATTTCACACCCAATCTGTGAAACCCAAGAATAAAAGAAAAAGGGAGTCTCACTGTGTCGTGAGCCAGCTGAGCCCCTCTGCCCAGTGAGATGCTGCTAAGCAGTTTCACAGCCAGCCTGGTGCAGCTGTCCCCCAGCATCACCTTGCTGTAGCCTGCAGAGCGCGCTGTGTGCACCAGCAGGTGCTGCCTGTGAGGAGAACACACTCAGCACATCTCCACACAAAGTACACACTGGACTTTCTCAACATCATCATCTGTTTAATCAATGTCTTAACCCTCCTGTTGTGTTCGGGTCAAATCGGACTGATTTATTATTTGATTGCCTCAAGGCCTTATGACCACAGTAGGCATTTGAACATAAACCATTTCTAATCACCACTTTCATTGAATTTTGAGGTTTAGTCAACTTTTTAACAAATATGGTGTTCCAGCTCAAAGATCCCCGTCATAGGAAATGAATGGCTAATAAGATTATGTTCATCCATCAGATCCCAAATCCACCATGTTCATTTTGGACTACACTTTCTTTCTTTTATTCACTGCAGTTATTCATGTGAACGTGTAGTCTGAGACATTGTTTACAGCTTCAAAGATTGTTAAATACAATTTGGAGATGATTCATGTTTTTGTGTTAATGTAAGAAAGCAGTTCTCTGAACTCTCTTGGCCTAGCACTTGGTATGAACCATGTGGCCTTTCAGAAAGGAGATCATAACATTCCTGTGGGGGTGCATCTGCACTGCACTCAGTACAAAATGAATGTTTTAACTCAAGTCATTTCACCATAAACGTGGAACAGTGGCGGAGCGAGGAGAGGGTCCTGCAGCTAAAGACTGAGAGGGTCCTGCAGTAATGACCTCAGTATGTTCAGCAGCTCCTCCCGGGCTGTCAGGGTCCTGGCAGAGCCCAGGAGCCGCTGCAGGGAGTGTGTGTGGGCCTCCTGGACCTCAGGCGGGGGGGTTTCCTGCTGCTGCCCTGCAGTCACACCGCTGCTGCCGTCGCTGAGCAGGAAGTGATCCACGGCTGCTTTGTAGGCGCCGGCTTCCTGTTCTGGAGCTCCCGGAGCCGACAGAACAACTGAACTGGGAAGGTCCAGAACCTGAGACAATAAAAACCACACACTCCCTTCAGACTGAGCTCATGTTATATGGACATGTGTGTTTACTGACATGTAAACTGAGGTCACATGTAGCAACGGATTGCATGTGGTTAAGGGCCACACTGACCTGCTCCAGAGGCACCATGAGGAAGGGGAAGCCTGTAGCTCTGAACACAGCCCGGAGCTCCTCCACCGTCCTCTGTCTGTGCTCCACCGACTGACCCACAGCGCCCCCCTCTGGGTTCAAACACACACACAATCATTGCTAAGGGTTTTGTATCGAATCATCCATTAATGCAAACACTTATACACTTAAATAATAACTTCCGATTTGATTTACCGTCAATGTAGACAATGCCGGGTAAGAATCTCAACTTCTTGTGAGCATTCTGACTCAAACCCTGAGAGGAAGCAGAGGTTCACAGCTGTATTAATGATATCCAAGAAAATTATCTATTGGATAATTATTACCATCAGAATATACAGTGGAGTTCTGAAGGAGCATTTCAACATCTCTTTAATCATTTCATTGGTTAATAAAAAGCATCCATTTATCCACACACAGAAGGTGACTAGCTCAGTGCTGAACATTAGCCATGTGCCGTCAGACTTCATAGTGTCCGCCGGTAATAACCTGCTCTACTGCTAATGTTAAATGCCCACATTGAATTATGGGCCAGCACATAGTGACACTATACTTTGGGTATACATAGACTCAGACGGGGTCACCTCTTGCACTTGACTGAGCATGGAGCAGGAAGAAGGCCCTCCAGACACCGCCAGCAGCACCTGCAGCACAATCATCACAGCCTCACTTCAATCACTGTTCTGAGGGAGGGCAACACAACGTCAAGTCAGTAGAGCAAAAATAACAAAGCTTACCTTTTCTCCAGGGAAAATCAGCCTGTTTTTGCCCAGCATGGCTCTGAACTTATGAATAAAGTACTCCTTGAAACAGCCCCTGACAAACCAGAAAGGATCTGAGTTAAGTCAGTGAAACACAGTAAATGTCTTCTCAAACCATGGACCATCTCTGCTAGCAGCACTGCAGTTCTATAAAGACCTGCTCATTTACCTCGTTTTTTATTTGATTTTTTACAGAATAACAATTTCATTTACTATTTTTTATTTCAGTCACTCCGTGCACAGGTGTTTCACATTGAAAGTCTATGGACTTTTCATCGGACATTGAGCACTTCAGTGCTTTATGTGAAGTACTTTGTTTTACACGCTGCTGCAATGAAATTTGGGATGAATAAAGTATGTTATCTTATCTTACAGCTGAATGTGAATACTGGCAGAGGGAGCAGAAGCAGTGCATTTGATAACAAATCAAACAAAAAAGCTTGTACATGTGTGTTCAAGAGTGCTCACCTGGTGTCAGGATTATATGTTACCTATGATTTTCAACTGATAATAGGCGCGTTCACACCGCAGTACTTTTCCCACTTTAGTTCCGATATAGTTCCGAAATGTTGCGTTCACACCAAAAAAAATCCGGAACTAAAGTAGTTCATGAGAACCTTTTTCACCCCCTTTTCCGTCCCTGCTAGAGAGCAGGGACTTTCGTGAGAGAAAAAGGTTCCTATGTCTGATTGGCTGGGCGGATTGCAAACCACGCCCCGTAAAACTCCAAAAAACTTTTGTGAAGCCAATGAATTTTATTATCCTCGCATTAGCATTAGCATTAGCCCAGCGCAGAAACGCAGAGAGACTAACTTATGGCAACACAAAATAAAACATGGGAGCGGTGGAGATGAGGAGGTGTCGGCGTTCCGGCGATTTACTCGGAAGGCTTCAGTAGAAGCTACTGGGAGTCCCAGCAGCTTCTACTGAAGCCAGTCCCCAACTCCGGGGACTTCCGGCAGCAGTATACGCCGTGAAGTGGTTTGCGGCCTGCCAGTAAACCCAAAGCAGAAGAAGAAGAAGTGACACAGCGGCTTCTTTTGCCCAGGGACTCATTCCGGTGTGAACGCGATCTGCTTTAATTCATGAGAACTAAAAGAGTTCTCATGAACTATTGTGGGAAAAGTACTGCGGTGTGAATGCGCCTATAGATAGCATTACATCTTGTTTGACTAAAAGGAAAATAAAATACTGATTTGGCTGGACTACATTGATGATATTATTCATGAGAAAAATAAATAGTTTGGGTTTTATGTGACTAATATAATATTACTATTTACATACCTTGATTTAATAAAAACAGGTTTATAGTTTTAAAAAACTATTTAGGACATTTGCATTTGTTAGTCTTTCTTTAGCGATTCCGCTCACAGGTACTGCACACGAAGCTAAGACAGTAGGGCTGCACGATATATCGTGTCGCGACGATAACTGCGATATGCGCATGCGCGATATTCACATTGTGACGATTTTTTTTTTTTGGACTTGCGATATTAAGTAGGCAAATTAACTCAAACATGTCATGTTACAATTATTTTGCTGCTTGCTACAAAAGGAAAACTTGCGCTGCTCTCATGTCAGGGGTTCTTGAGTGAGTGACATGCAGGCTCTGCATGCACAGCAAACCACCAATCACACTCAAATCTCCAAAGCAAACGGATCCGGTGATTAAAGGTAAAAACACTGAATAAAGTAGTTTCATGTGTTTCTCCAGGGCAGTTCGGCGCTGCTAACCGAGCTAGCTCAGCTTGTTGCTCTGTTAACTTAAATTGGACCTATTATGCTATATTTGAATAATATATTGTAGGGCCATACCTATATAAAACATGTCTGCGAAGTTTTTTTTTCAAAATACCAAACAGATCATGCATTTTAGCCATGCCTCATTTCGCTCTATTTTAGCCCTGTTTTTGCAAGGGCTGAATCTGTGAGAAGTCTTCTTCGCTGCTTTTGTGGCAGACTACAGCGCCACCTACAGGCCTGGCATATGTGCTACAGCGTCTCCAGCACTTTCGAAAGGCAATGGCCGTGGCTGTCTCCTCCTGATAGGTGGAGAGTTGGCCATAAAGGCGGAGCTCCTCGTTTCTGACGTCAGAGATATTTCAAATCTGTATCAGATCCGTTGCAGCCCCGTTTTTAGAGATTTTGGGTATGGAGGAACAGAGAGAGGGTTGTGTTTTCTGACACTTGGTGAGTTCCCTGACACACCGGGACACATATTCATGTATCAAAGGCATACAAAAGGTGCATTTTGCATGATAGGTCCCCTTTAAAATCCAGACGTCCGTGACTAAAATCCTTCATCCGGTTAAATATAGTTAAAAAAATACCAATTGTATAGCATTAAAGTTCAAGAAAGGATGGTTCGCGGAAAAAAAAAGAAAAAAAAGGGTCCTTTCTTCAATTCCTGTATATCGCAATATATATATATCGCAGGGGGAAGAAAAATTGCAATGTCAGTTTTTTCCAATATCGTGCAGCCAGTATCCATTTTCAACAGTTTCTGCAATCTTGAGCCAACTAATTATTTCAGTAGTGCCAAGATCACAAAAAAATATCTAAAGCTGGAGGATCAGTGCTTATTGTGTTAACACCAAGCCGCAAACTCTGGGTAACAGCCGGGACGCCAATACGGAAGTGCCACACACTGCAGTTCATACATGGGCCGCTAGGGACTGGCTGCAGAAAGGAGCAATTTCCATAGACCCCCATGTTAAAATGCCCAACTTTACAGCAGAAAAAAACATGTTTCATGGATGCAATATATTATTATCGATATAGTTAGATTCCACCTTCATGATTATGAATCTGTGAGTGAATTGTTTTCTAACACGACCCTTTTATTTATATTAGGTCTTAAAGTTTTTGCATAAATTACTTGTCCACTCTGCTAGGCTACAACCATAGAGGCTACAACGTTAGTTAGTCATAGTACTGTACTTGACCCTTTAGCTTTAGCCGTGTTCGTGGTGATTGTGCCTTTTAGGGAATATTGTTACAAATACCAGACAATTAAAATGTTGTGCTGTGCGCTTGCATGTACTAACAGAACTTCCAAGAAATGATAATATTATACATGTTAACCCCGTTCGCAGGTGTTTGTGTGCTTGGTAGCTTAGCTTGTTACTTATTAGCCAGCTAAGGACGTAACCCTTTATGCATACATATACATTTTAGTTTATGATTCAGCCTTGGGTAAGACTTTTATAGTCTATGGCTATGACGCCCATAATGCTAAACGGGAGCAAATGTTAATAGGGGACCCAATTATCCCAGTGGTGGCCGCCGGAGCTAACGGAGCCGCAGGGGTCTAGCTCCAGCCGGCGTCCCGGAGCTAGCCCACTGCGGCTCCGTTAGGTCCGGGCGGTAGAGTCCGTCGTTATAACTGGAGATCATGGAATGCAGCGAAACGCAGACTTGGTTCGCCTGCTGTAGTATTAGCTAAATAAATTATGTTGAATAAGGCTTATTAAGCTGAACATCGCCACAATTGTTCTGCTATGTATCGGTACTTGTTTTCTTAACGTGTGAATGACAAGCATTAAGAATAACAAAATATAGCTAATTCTCTTGCAGATTGTCTCATTTGATTATGAATGTAACGTTTATATAGGGGAACTACACTGTTAGCAGTAACTTGGTATGCATGTATTTCATGTTAGCTTAGCTTCTTAGCCTGAGCTAGCTCTGTTTACTTCCAGTTCGGAGGCAGCAGGTCCCGCCTCTGCTCCGCCTCTTTGCCCTTATTTGGAGCAGGCGGGATTAGACTCTGACGTTGCTGTCAAGCCGTTAGTGTCCGACTCCGCCTACTAAGGGCTTCACGGCAACTCTGCAGAATCCTATGGGTGACGTCACGGACACTACGTCCATTTATATATACAGTCTATGGTTAACACACACACTGAAGGTATACAAGTTAACGCCCTAAGCCAGCAGATGTCTTACCTGCAGTATGCATCTCCTGCTCGGATCACCACCGCTGCACTTGCCTCTTTGCATTTCACACATTGCCTAGAAACACTCAAAATGGAGGAACAGACATCTTAAAAACTGCTGTGAATGGGTTTAGATTTGTTGACACCTTTATGTGCTGTCATCTGTAATATTATGTAAAGATACTGTGGACAAATAAGGGTTAGTTACACAAACACAATTCAAACAGAAATGAGGAGGTTCCAGAGTAATCCTTTAGCTGGGGCCCTTCTGATTCAAGCTTTGGATTATTTGAAGTCTGTCTAAGCACTAACACTGTTTCAGAGTAGACGACGGCACGCTGAAATAAATATGATCTGTCCTAACAACAATGAACCTCAAAGCATAGCGTCAGAAAAAAGTACAATTTTGAGTCTTGTATTTTATGTAGCAACTAAAACTCCCATTTAATTCAGGCGCTGAGAGGCTAAGTTTGGTTCATATCTCTGACTCGTTCCCAATGAGCAGGGTGTACTGAACATTTTGTTCCATCCAATGTAATAACTCAAATAAACAAACAATTACATAAGGTCCACAAAAGGTATCGAACCACATCTCCCTTTTCCATCACACATCAGGTTTACTAAACATCTTAAACCACATCCATGTGACTTATTACAATTACAACAGTGTGCTGTAAACTAATAATAATACAATTATAAATAATCAACAATGGCAAAACCTGCATTTTGGCTCTTACACTTTACTTAAGTATTTCCATGTTATGCTACTTTGTATTTCTACTCCACTACAGTTCAGAGGTACATGGTGTACTTTTACTCCCCTACATGTATGTAATACCTTTAGTTACTTCACAGATGTGGATGAATAATGTGAAATCTAATCAAGTGTTAAATCAGACTTTAGTTCCACCTGGAGTAAATCCACCAGCTACCCTGCAGTATACAAAGTCATTCAAACTAGCTGCACCTTTACCAGCTTTGAGAACACTTTCATGATCAATCATTATAAAACATATCATATATATTATTCTGAAATGGACCAATCTGCACAACGACTACTTTTACTGTCGCTCCTTTCACTATATTTTGATGATAATACTTTTCTACTTTTACTTGAGTAACATTTTGAATGCAGGACTTTTACTGTAACAGAGTATTCCTACACTCTGGTACTTCTACTTTTACTTAATAAGATCTGAGTTACCAATGCTGTAATTTACCTGGGCAGCTCCTCGCGCAGCAGCGGCCCGTGGTACTCCTCCTCCACCTGGCACATGACCTCTGACCTGCGTCTAACTGTACGCCCGGCTCTGAGCTGTACGCTCCGGTGTGGCAGGAGTCTGACTCTTTGCCTGCTCTCAGCTGTAAAGCGGCTACATTTACTCAGGGCACTTTGTTCCACTTTCTGTTAGCAGCTGTCTCGTGTATATTTTCATGGATGTCTAATCGTGTCTAATGCATAAGAATCATGTCTCTTTCTGATGACGTATAGGATCTTCTTTCTGATGCTTGCAGTGCGATACCGCCCCCAGCTGGTGTGGAGGGTGCCAATATGGTCTAGCTGCAGCCGAGCTGCAGCCGCAGCAAGTACACGACACGCCCACCTGACACGACTCTACAGTGGCTGAGAGACATTGCAGATTAAAAACGAATTGCAAACGTTATTGTAGCATTTCAAGCCACTATTAGGCAAATTACTTAATAACCTAGTCTATCCGTTTGAGACACAACAGTATATGACTTTCAGCACAAATCATTTTGTCAAATTAATAAATTAAAACAAAAAGGGGGCTTACTAAACTTTATTTTAATTTGTTAGTACATGTAAAATAGGTCATAATGAGATCATCTATTAATTATGTTTGTCTAACTGCTACACAGAAGCCCCGAATGTGTTTTCTGTAGCCCCGGACAATTCTACCTCCATAATATAATACATTAACCGTGCTTTACGTGAACCTCATCATGACACAAGAGAGGACGGCAGAACTGTAATTTCCCGTGTTCAGTGAATGCAACAGAGGAAAGACACCAGACCAATCAGAGAGTTGTATGGAAATAAACGTGTGCTTGTGTCATTCAAGCTCGGCTCTGTGTGTGTGTGGCGATAGCGCATTTGTGATAGAGGGAGAGGGAGACAGGGAGACCGGTGCCAGCAGGGACCGTGTTATTAGCATCTGGTTAGTAGCTGCACTAACGGACATAAGGAGCTGTTTGTTCCACAACAATCTGGAGGAGAGTCCTCCATAGGCGCGGGAAGTCATTTTGCTCAGGGGGTGCAGCCAAAAGTGGGGAGGGGGCCGATAGGAGCCGCATAAATTGTTTGTTTTAACTGTTAGGCTTAAAAAACCATTATAGACCTACATCACTTAGCAACAGCTGCACATGCCCACATGCTAACTATGAGTCTTACAAACCTACATAACATTACAAATAGTCAGACGAAAATATTATTTACAATATTAATAAAACTATGAATTCAATTTTAACTGATTGACAAGGCAAAACACTGCACAGCAGCAGCAGCATTAAAGGAAAAATATCGTCTTACCTTGTGGCTTCACAAAACTCCAAATGTAGCCTTCCTCTCTGGGGTGGCACTAATGAAGACCCTCATTAGAGCAGATACATCCACATTGTCCAAAATGTTACTATGGACATGCATCAAAGTCAGATGTGTCAGTCTCTTCTGTGTCATATTACTCTAGTTGTAGAGGTGGTGGGCTGAGGAGTAGCTGGTGGTCCACTCTTTTTATTGGGTTGTTTGTTGGAAAACAAATCCAAAATCCTTTTTTGCGCCATTCTAGAAAGTCGTCACTCTGCAGTGTGTGTGTCATGTCAATTACGTCACTATCCAACGACCTACGACCTAGATGACTCTGATTTTATTTCGAAAATAAATTCAAGCCATCTGACTGATACAAATATATAGCCTACTATGACTATGATATGCTACTGTATACAGCTAATTTTATTTTAAGTAAAATCATAACTGTTTCATGTAGTTTAATCATTTTTCTTTAGGTGGTCACTCTACTACTTCCGGTCCATGGGACCTTATTTCGGAAAAATAATGTATTGAAGTCAATGGAGAGAGAAAACTTATCTTTCGATCCCGTTTGAATTGTGCCATGATATTGAATATGATGTTTGTCAATCTTAAAAAATAATTTCCATGTCAAAAAGTCACAGTTTGTCGTAAAACTGTTGAAATATAAGACTATGAAAAATACGCAACTAGAAAGACTACAAATCCCAGAGTCACGTAAGTGATGTCACAATTGTTTTCCTCCACTAAGAGATAGCTCAGATCAGCGCCATATAGATATAGTATATCTATATGGCGCTGGTTAAGATAAGATAACTTTAACAAGATGCCTGTGTGCTTAGTGCCAGGTTGTTATTGTAGCGACCCTGTATAGGATGCTGAGGGTGTCACTCAGGCATCCCCCGTCTCTCTGCCAATCATAGAGCTGCACAGTGATGCTGGTTGAGGTGCGGGCCTGTGGTTGGGGGAGCAGACGGGGGAGGGCGGGAAGTTGTGACGTAGACACTGTTATATATATGGGATGGGTATGTGTAGAAGTTAGTGTTAGTGATGGGAATTCCGGCTCTTCTTGGTGAGCCGGATCATTTGGCTCGGCTCACCAAGAAGAGCCGGCTCTTTCGGCTCCCAAACGGCTCTTCGGTTTACCACTTATTATACCTTTTAATTCAATCAAATGTAGCCCTGTTTTGACTAATGATTTATATGTGTACACATATCACTTAAATTATTCAATACATCCATTGTACTGAAGTATTCAAAAGTAAAAATTACATGTTTAATATAAATGATTTGCTGTGGCCAATTGTTTTCATTGCATTTACAGACACGTGCAACTCTCTGATACCACCCAATGAATGCATTGACTTGCTTGTAGAACCACGCTACACAAAACAGATAGCAACACCTATAAAACTATTTTTTTTTAAAAGGGGCTACTGTATCGACCTATATAAAGTATATAAATATATATATATTTTTTTTAAATACCAAAAAGATCCTGCATTTTAGCCATGCCTCATTTCACTCTATTTGCTCTTTCCAGAGCTGTTTTTGCAGGGGGCTGATTCTGTGAGCTGCAGCTGACCACGCCCCCCTGCAGGAGAGGGGAGCGTGCTCTGAGATCAGCTGCTGGGCTGTCAGAAGAGGGGGAGAAAAAGAGATCTCCGTCCTCCGTGTTTTATTCTTATAGAAGTAAGAAGAGAAGTAATGGGGCAGAAACCCTCCTTTTTACGCAGCGGTCCAGACATAGACATCAAACGGCGACACATATTCAGTTGCCAGTTACTTTGGCATTAGGGCAGGGATATCTAGATACTTTCCAAGGTTTGACATAATGAATTGTGCTACTTTTAAAGCAAGCAACGATGTTTTCAAATATGTAATCAAAAAGCTCCTCAAAAACACTATCGAAGCAGTTCCTGCCGTTGCTACGTTAGTTCAAACAGTAACAACGGACTACTTTTATTAGCGGATGCATGTCAATTTAAATAAATACATAAAACTATTTTTTAAATCACTAAAATCATTTTCTAAATCCATAAAAGCATTTCCATTAATATTGGGAGTCATGTCGTTACTTTGTTGAGAATGTGGCCATGTAATAAGCGGGATAATGTGCACATTGCATATTGCATAATGTGCCTTCATGCCGATCTAGATCCCTCCGCAAAAATGGCTCGTTCGCGGGCGAGAGCCGGCTCCCGTCGTTCACTTAAAAGAGCCGGCTCTTTGAGCCGGCTCGTTCGCGACCTACACATCACTAGTTAGTGTTAGTGTGAGTGGAGTGTGAGGTTGAACCCACAAGCTGTTCCTGAACCTGGGATCATCTGTTGTCAAACAAGAGTTATTAAAGCCTAATAACGAGAAGCCTGTTTCCGACTCACCTTGTGAACGTTACATTATCATACCAGCAATGGGTGGGTCTTGCTAGTTTTTTCGCTTCCCGTCTGATGAAAGGACCAGGAGTGGCTGGATCAAGTTAGCTACCTAGCTAGTAGCTAGCACGTTAGTTAGCATTACAGCAATGTCCTTTTTATTAGCCTTAATATGAAGTAACATCAAGTAACCCAACATGTTAAACAGTAAGAGTAGTAGTCATATTTCGTGAACCCTTTGAAGAGTACTGTCACCGGTGTGATCATTCTATAATACACAATTTAAGCCCGGGGGAGAAATGCTAACGCTAGCGTCGGCGATCGCCGATCTTTTCTACTTCATGTCTCTGCACAAAGTTGACATTAAACATTAAAAAGATCAGGCAGTTCAGAGAATCAAAGGAAGGCAGGCAGCTTTGCATGACATTCTTCTGGACGTGTTTCATTGTGGTGATAGTGAGGGTAGTCAATCATTTTGTTGACAAGACAGTAGTGACGGCCATCTTGGTGACGTGTGTTGTTCTGCGAGAGCAGAGATGTAGATCATTGAGCGTTTCACACAAACAAATGTGTAACTTCACAGTTTTACGACACATTTTTTTTTTTTGACTTGCAAAATTATCTTTTAAATTGACCAACATCATATGTGTAATTCGTGGCACAATTCAAACTGGATCGAAAGATAATCTTTCTCTCTCCATTGACTTCAATACATAATTTTTCCGAAATAAGGTCCTATGGAGCTCCACCGGAAGGGGAGGGACTTCGCCTCTCTATGGAGAGGCGAAGTCCCTCCCCTTCCGAAAGCCTCCATGGGACCCCGGAAGCGGAAAATTATACATTGAAGTCAATTGAGAGAGAAAGGTTATCTTTTGATCCCGTTTGAATTGTGCCACGAATGACACATATGATGTTTGTCAATTTAAAAGAACATTTTGCAAGTCAAAAAAATAAAAATGTGTCGTAAAACTGTGAAGTTACACGTTTTTTCGTGTGAAACCGCTCAGTGAACTACAGGTCTCTGGTCTCGCACAATACGCGTCACCAACATAAAGATGGCCGTCACGTTAGCACATTTCACCACATTCTTTCAGAATGAGAATACAATTATTTTACGAGGTGAAAATCACTACAAGTCTGGGCACGTTGAGAGCTGTACCTATATGAAAGGGGAGTTAGTCGGTTCTGTAAGAGCCAGCATGCGGGACCGGCTTTACAAGGTTTCGGTGAGTAATATGAGTGCAATGTTTAACGTTAATGTCAGCTAGCTAACATTAGCTAACAAGGTACACTAACGTGTTTTGTTTTAGCAACTAGTTTTCTCCTTAAGAACTTCGTGGTCTCTGTGTATGCTGTGGATAACATTAGTGTTCACAAGAACAAGGTACACTCCCGTGTTTTGTTTTAGTTGCTCTTCAGATTGAAGCGGCCAGTTTTATATCGACTATACTGTATGTGTGATCTCCTTTTTCTCGTTGTGTCATTTGACTTTATTTGCTGTTCAAGGATTCAAGGATTTTGGTTATCTAGGCACAGCTGTGTGTGACTCCCTCTGGTACACTGGTATGTGTTTTCCTAAT